AATACAATTGCATGTAATTTTTTACAATAATTCAAAAATTTTGGATTTAAAAATTTTATTTAATTAATTTAATTTTTAATCCAAAACTTTATTTCGATTTTTAATCCCAATATTGGGATTAAAACTTAAAAATCTAACGCTTGGGATTAAAAATTTTATTTTTTAATTTTAATGAAGTACGCAAGCGCGAAAAGTCGTTAACTTAAAAACAATTTCTTTTCTTTAATTTTTAATTATAGGCTTGGGACTAAAATTTTTCATTCTGATTTTTTAATACGGTAATAGGGATTGAAAATCCGGTATGTGGGATAATAATTATAATTTAATTTTTTTATCCCGTATTTGGAATTACCAAAAAAAAAATGTAATTCAAATGTTAATTCAATTAATTGTTTAATACATTATTTGCAACCCTGTTTGCAACACTGTAAAAAACAGCTTATTTTTAATAGAATGTTCTTAGAACTAAACAAAATTATAATAATAATTAGATATATACATACATATATTTTTAAGTCACTTTAATTGTTCACTTTGCGCTAAGACCTGCACAAATCTTTGTTCGGTTTTATACGGAATCGTAATTATGGCAAAGGGAATGCACCATTTATGAACTCAAACAAAGAATAAAAATCATCTACGAGCTTAGATGCATTCACTTGAATACATATGTATATATTACATGCAACTACACTTTGGCAGCAGACTTAGTCATTTGCACCAAACTCTGTGGTCATGCTTGAATGCGGTTTTTGACGAGGGCGCTTCCTTGCCACACAATGACTAGATGCCAATGGCATTACATTAATTGTATTACATTCATACATACATGCATACTTATACACTTCATAGCTCTCAGATAGTTCTAACATTATAAATGGTTTATATTTCGTGCTTCCTTATACACACATACATACTTGTATATACATACATACTATGTACTTATATGCACATACATGGTGTTTCAGCCGCCTAGAGAAGTCTACAGTTCTCAAGTTTAATATGCGCTTTGGTATAATTACGCCATAAAGCGGTTATAATAATCACTCAACTCATTGTTTAATAAAGGAAATTACGGGGGGTTAAGCAGAAAGTGTAGCAACGAAATTCTATGTCGAAAGAAATGGTAAACTAATGTCTGTCCATTATGCTTTTATCATACAAACGAGTTCTGACAACTGTCCACTGTACACCTACATTTCCGTTATAAACTAATGCACAAAATAAATAACAACAAAATCTGTTTGTTAGCTCTACAAATACATACACATACGGAGACATGTATGCATGTATGTATGTATGTATGTTTAGAGTTAGTTAATTATTTCTGAGGTTTTTCGCGCAAACGAATTAATGCAAGAAAGCCTTAACTTTATTATTTATATACATCCGTACATATTATATGTATGTATGTCGCTGGATGCGTGCATAACTCGTGGAAGTATCTGCTGTCAGCGGCTTCTAAAGAATGTGGAAAGGTGATTAGTTCGCATATACTAACATTTTTAATCATTTAATTGAATGTAATAAGAAGATATTGCTAAATAATTATATAAACAAGGGAAAATGTTAACTTCAGTTGCATCGTAGCTTTAATACCCTTCACCGAAAAATTTCTTATAACATAAATGAGTATAAGATCTTTATCTTGACTTTGATTTGTCAGTTTGTATAGGAGCTATATGCTATAGTGGTGTGATCTGAACAATTTATTCGGAGATTATACCTTTGCCTTGAACAATAATGCATGCCATATTTCGTGAAGGTATCTCGTCAAATAAAAGTGTTTGCTATACAAGAACTTGATTTTGAAAGTTGCATGACAGCTATATGTTAGCGTGGTCCGATTTCCATCAAATAAGCAGCTTCTTGAGCAGAAAAGAATGTTTACAAAACTTCAAATCGATATTTCAAAAACTTAGGGATTAGTTCGGGTATATACAGGCAGACAGACAGTCATTATTTAATCAACTCAGCTCATCACACTGATCATTTATATATATATATATTTTATAGGTTGGAATTTTGATTTTGTGATTAAAAACTAAGTATTTAATACATTTTAGATTAACAAACACTTGAATTAAAAATATAACGTTGAAGTAAAAACTTAAATTGAAAAAATCCAAATTTTTAACAAAAATATTTTAATGTAAAAAATGCACAACCCTGGTTACTAGTGACTTAATGTTATATACAAATTTTAACTGTATGTTAATGATACTAAATAGCACTATTCTCTACCAAACTAAATACTCAGTTTACCCACCACCACAATTTACTTCGGACCAGTTTTCCTATAAAATTCATATTTCAAAAAAATAATATACCACACTCTATCGCTTAAGAGTCTACTTTTTCTGGTCTGCAAACAAAAGTATCATTCACGGTTACGTTTTGCTTGTAGTGAGTACGCACAGTAGTTGTTTTCTTTCTTTGTGCCATGGAAAAGTTCATTAAACCATCAACGCACTTTTACGGTTTTCTAGAATTTCATTTCCACTGCAAACACCGTTTGTTTAGATTTATTTTTTACTCTTCTTTGCCCTTCTCCCCATTTCAGCATTCATATTTGCTATAGCTGAGGGATTTAAATAACTGAAGGGAGATTATAACCGTACGAGTACACACGCACACACAAGCACACCTTTACATAATTCAAACAAGCAAATATGAACTTCAAAAACTAAACAATAACACCTATATATGTTATATGTAGATGCTCATATCTACTTATATACTTATGTAAAGATTATTACTTACGTGGTATAAAGTAAAAAGTTTAACATTGCTTAAGTATAAAATAATAAAAAAAATTTATTAAAAGAAGCATATATATTTATGCCTGAGATAACTTATTTAGATATTTTTACAAAGAAGATGTAAGTTTATGATGCTCATAATCTCAGTGTTTTTATAGGCTTAAACCTGATTAAATACTGTTTACACATACTTACATACATTACGTACTTATTTATAATCTTTAGATATTATAACTAGAAAATTAAATTTGTAACAAATCTTTTTTAAGAGAAAAATGTTTTCCTTCTTGCTTGAAATGTGTTGTTCTTGTTTTGGTTTTATTTTACTCGCTCTTAAATTATTAAATCTCGTGTTGACCTATTTGGATATTTTCATTAAATAATTGCATTTTGGCCTATAGCTCGCTTTGACCGGAAATCGACCGAAATGTATCTGCGATTTGTTGTTATAATTTTTTTCCGGATTGGTTGAGGTTAAAAACTAAAAGAATACATACCAATAACAAACGCACTACAATACATACAAATATTTTTAATTGTATCGTCGCGTTTTCTACACTTACCACCATATAAAACATGGATGTTGAGTTAAAATGTTTAGACATTCACTTTTTATTTTCAGTAAGTAAGAGTATAAAAGCGCCTTTTGCGAATGAATATAATAACTATTTTATTTTATTGAGCAAATATGTTGTCCTGACAAGCGCCACCAAAGTACGTTAACTTTTACCGACTTTCATTCAAATAAAATTTAAACAACTAAAAAATGCTTCTAACTTTTTTTATCCAAACGTTGTTATTGCCATTTTTGTGGCGCTGCTCTCTTGAAAATAGTTGTTTCATTCGCTATTATAATAAAGCTCGTTGTTTAAGTCTTTTGTTTACAGTAAAAAATGCCTTTCAGACGTAGCTTTAAGGGGTTATATCCACTTGCAAGCCAAGCTTTTTGTGTTTTTTTTTTTTGAAGAAATATTTTACTTAATTAATAAATAAATAAATATGTACATTTACAGAATTTAATGTTCATTAATAATCAGTGATTCAATTTGAAAACTATTGCAAAAAAATATCTGTCAATCTGTAAGATATCTTAACGAAATTCAGAGCGCATCTTTTTCTGATTACAATGAGTCATAGTGCTAAAAATAGATCAAATGACTTCAGTATTTCCCCTAAGGAGGCATGCTATTTTATACATAACAGTTTTAGATTTTGTAACAATATGCACATTTACTAGCTTAATTGCAAATAAAATGATGAGCAAAATAAATCCGGTAGTGTAAATTTAGCCTTTATGCGCAATTTTGTACAGGAATTTCATTGTACTTAACATTGTATTATCTTCCGGTTTACATAATACTCGTATACATTTTCTCACATTGTAATTATTATTGGCATATCTTTGAATAAACCTTAATATTTGAAGGCTAAAAGTTAGGCCAACTACTCTAATAAGTCGAATGGTACAACAACACCTATAAAATATAAAAGAAATATAATTTATGCAATGCTACTAGCGCAATTAATAGGATATGCAACCAGCAACAAGTAAACTCCTCCGACACATTGTTGCATTTTGCATTCAAACAAAACCACTCAAATTTAAGCGCGCTCTTCAAAAGCCGATTGTTTTGTTTGAAAAATCATGTGCGTTTATAATATTATTTTTTATTTTTTTATTTTTGTGATTTTTTTTTCTACTATTTTTGCCGCAAATTCGCAAACTCATATCCACTTGAGGAATGCAACGACTGCTTAGCGTCAAAAGCATAATTAATGAATGAAATGCAACTTTTGTGGTTACAATTTTCGAAAGCACACAATTGCTTGTAAATCGTAATCTCCCAGAGGCATACTTTTATGAGATATGCTGAGAATTTTACGACAAGACTTGCGTGCCTACATAAATTCACTTACACCTAGTTGTGTCTGTTTATTGACGTGCGTAAATATTTATAACCGCACCTGTGTGCGGACATGCAAACAAACAAACATACACCTATACTATATAAATATTTATATGAGTGCGATCGTCTGTCAGACCTGCTCATGACATGCAGGTGAAAGTGCGAATGACAGCTGTAGTTATTTCGTCGGGTTTATTTGCAAATTCATTGAGTTAAGTGTCATAAAAATAAAATGTCTTAGATTTTTATAAATTTTGCACTAAATGAAATCTATTTATACATTAAAATAATTTTAAAATACACCATATAAAATAAACGTTACTAATTTCAGATCCGTTGTATGCATCAGTCGCTGATTATTTTCATATTTTATGCGCGCTTTTTGAGTTAAAATGCTGTAAGTGTGATAAAATAAAAACAAAAATTTTAATTAAATCTATAATCATTAATACTCGTTTATACAATTACGTACAATTTTAAATAATTGAATTAACATTTAAATGAATTTTTTATTTATTTTTTAGTCCCGGAGAACTTAATAAAAAATAATTTTCAAACTTCTAAAAATATAAAAGAAAAAAATAAAAGAAAATGTTTTTTAAAAAATATTGTTTATAATTTTCGCGCTTGCGTACTTCGGGTTTTACCATTTTGAACTAGAGCTCGCACAGAGTCATCACCTTTAATACTCTAGAGCATTTTTTGGCAAACTACATTCAAACGATTTATAATTTATCTATTTTTAATTCCGATTTTGGTATTATAATATACATTTTTAATTTTTAATACATTTTGGATTTGTTTCATGGATAATGTTTCATCCGAAATTTTTTAATTATATTTACTTATTTATTTATTTTACAATATTATTGCACACATCCCTTTACTCCCTTATATATTAACATGTTGGTCCATATAGTTTGTTGGTTTTTATAATTCAGAAAAAATTATGAATATCCAATATTTTTATTTTATTGATTATAGTCTACCATACTTCTTCAAATATAAATTGATTAGCTTCGTTTCACGCAGTTATGCATGTGCCATGTTATATAAGGTCTAGTAAAAACAAATCCGTTATCATTGTAGTACATTTATTTATTTTTAGCTTAGTTAGAATGACCTAATTCAGGTCAAATATACGCCGTTCGATAACTTATTGCCCTTTCGAAGACAATTTTATAATGCTACTCTCGCAGAAACTCTCGTTCCTATTGGCAAAAAACTGGGACAGTTAATTCTCACAAGCTTCTCTTGAGGCGAATTTTCCCTCAGAAAATCATTCACCATAAACAGGAACAAGTAGTGATCACTTAGGACCAAGTCCGGATACATAAGAATGTCTATGGTCTGGCGCTGTTTTAGTGGAACAACAATACTATAAACAGTATCATATTTCGGTCACATAGCTTTCATTTCCTTATTGAAAAAGGACTGTAAAATTTGATATTTTGCTAGTGTCCATCTTTGACTCGTGCACAAACAATATTTAATCAAACAATCACAAAACTAGCAGTTTTTTAGTACGAAATCTTATCTTTCTTACACCATATAGCTTAACTCGATCGCACTGACAACGGGATATACACATTACTATAGACATCTATAGAAAAATGATAATTTACTTTTTATTAGACATCATGAAATGCATAATAAACTATATGAACCACTTTTTACATATTGTACATATGTATAAATAACGTCATAGACTACCGCTTTACATTCCATGTACTCCATTTATATAATTCAAGTCATCACATCTGCTTATCTGTCGTAAAAAACCACTGAAGAACACAATCAAAACAAAATTGAAAACTTATAAACATACCACGCAGACGACAGATATTACTGAAGAATCATCAGGAATCGGTGAATGACACAATGGCCGATAGTCGAGAGCGTATACGTGGTCCACCACGAGATGGTCGCGAATTTCTCACAAGTCCCAGACAGGTATTGCGTCGCTTAATGTTACTCTCCGAAGGACGTCAATACAGAGAGGCGGCAGGTGTTGTGGGTCGACTGGGCCTGTCCGTTTTGCGTTCAGTTATAGCAGAGTTGCCCATCGACTTGCTGCTGGAACATCTGCCACACAGCGCCTATCTGTTGGAGTCATTTTTTACAAGGTACTTTTTAAATAAGAAAATCATTTTTTTAGAAATATATGTTATGATGACATTTTCACAATAAAAATATCTTGACTGCTTACAGATTAATCACCGTTAACCCCTCACCAAAACCGGATGTGCCCATAGAATCAGTTGTGTGGCAGCTGGTGCGTCTCTTTTCATATCCCCACGAATCAGGTATGCGGCAACGTTGTGCAAAGCTTACACAAGCCATAGCACAGTATGAACCCAATTTGCGTCAGACACTGCGCGAGCGCCGAAAATCCTTCGATAACGCTGTACAAGGTTTGGGTGTTCACGGTCTCACCACAGACGCCACCGGTCAGCTAATATCATTGCATCATGCGCTCAAGACCGAATTGCAAAGGCATTTGGATATCTACAAAATGGCCATACACAAATTGGAGGAGCTGAGCATGGTAAACGCGCATCAAGATCCAGCACATTCCTCGCATCAACGGTTACTTGCCATCAACTACGGTGACATACAACAAAGACTGATCGAGAACAAAACCCTACTCACCATGCTGGATAAGCCGGCATTAAAGCAGCTAGCATGTCTTATGGAGAATCTTAGTCAACGTGTGGAGAACGACAAAGAGGTGCTGAAGTGTGTGGGTCAAGTGAAACGTTTAGATGGTAAGGCTTGTATAGAGAAACGACCGGCGGCGGGGTTGCTAATGAACTTTGCGCAAGGCTGCGAAGCCGTGCTACAGCTTATGGGTCCCGAAAGTCTACCAACAAGTCCGACTGCCATTTGCAGCGGTAGCAACAGTAGTAACTGCAGTGATGGCTATCATTCGGATGATTCAACCAGCGAAGAAACGAGGTAAGACAAGAAACATGTCATAAATGTGTAAAAGTTATTTGTTTTCTATTTATTTTTTTTTTTTTTAATTTTTTATTTGGGTCATTATACATACTTATGTGGGTGGCGTGTCGAAAAGTTTAACATTCGATTTTGCGTACTCAGCGTGCCAATTAGTAGTGACACAAACAAGTCTAATATAGACCTTATAAGGCACGAAAACTTCAAGACGAATATTTGACTTTCTTTAATGTACATTTGTTTGAGTAATTTATTATTAAGAATTTTATTTTTTTTCTATTTGGGGAATGCGTTGAAAAAAGAATACATTAAAAGTATAAAATCGCAAAATGCAGGGTTTTTTTAATACTGGATTTTTTTTTAATAGTGGTACTCAAAATTATTTACATTCATAACTGTAAGGGTAAAGCGAGTCTATCGAGATATTGAATCATATGTAAGCAAGTAATTTTGCTGTTTTCCGAAGTTAGTCCCCAAATTCGAAATAGTGCCTTTGAAGTGCGAAAATAAGCATATTTCAACCATAATTATCAATTGGAATATGCCAGCTACTAAAAATGTAAAATTATGTACATAACCTAAATTTTCTTTTGATTTGAATAGTGTACCGTAACATTTTTCAAACAAAAAAAATTTTTATATATAAAAAAAAACTTGAAGGCAAAGGTCTCGAATTTAGAGCCGAACTTATGACTCAACCTCTCGAAAATTAGGTTTCGTAGCCTCTGTATCTGTATAAGTAGGGACGGTTTATCTTGAAAATAATCCTTAAATTTCAATGACAGAGAAAAATGACATTTACGTCTAACTGATTTGGAAAATTTTAACTTCGAAGATTAAAATACAATTAATTTTATTTTACATATCCCTCTTAAACATTAGCTTCAAATATTTATAAATTCTAATTTTCTCACAAATAATTACCATTTCGTCTGCTAAAAAATCTTTCACTGAAAAAAAAAACAGTGAAGTACATATTTTTCCTAATACCACAAAGGAATCAATTTGATTATATTATATATACATTTATACATGTATGTATATTTCAAAACATGTGAAAGTGGAATATAAATATATATGTATGTAGATATCTATGTATTCTTATATATATTAAGAGATTTCTAATTAAAACTTATTTGTAGTGAAATGGTAACTCAATACCGTACGCTATATCTGGAGAACCGAGCGGACACTTTGGAGGCTTTGGATGGATTGCCGCAGCTGAAACATGTTCAAAATTTGAAAGCGAAAATACTCTTTTCGATAATTGTGGTAAGCTTAATACGTGAATAAAATAAATTGTTATATCATATCATATATCATACAATAATAGAGAGCATATTGACATCTAATTAAATTGTTATAACTGCATGCTAATCTACCTTTACTCGTATTTGATTATGCCAGTCTACCATATGATCAAAATTGACTCGGAATCGTTGAAAATGTTGCAGAAGAGCGGAGTTTATTGTTTTGAGGAGTCTATTTTAACACGAACACAAGTATTTGTGTGGCAAAAAGCATTCAGTGAAAGTCATGAAGCCTTCGAAAACTTGCCTCATGCGAGTCGTTCTTCCATCTCTGCTAAAAACATTGAAAAAGTCAAAGAAACAGTGCTTAAAAATCATCATGTTGCCATTAGAGAGTTAGCAGGGGATTTAATATCTCTTATCGATCGAATCTACACATTTTGGTTAAGGTTTTTGGAATAAAGCATATCATGCTAGACTCGTATCAAAAGATCTTAATGTCGCATCGATTAAACGAAGTCGAGTAGAGGTGATACTTAACAATGTAGCTGAGAAACCTACATCTATTGTATATGCCGTCAAAATTTTCCAACAACGTCGAAAAGCACCAAAAATGAGCTACTGAAAAAAACCGAATTCACTAAAGGCACTGAAGGCCAAGCCGATGCCTATAACAAGTCTATGGAAAATTGGATTACACGTTGGCATTCTTGTTTCGGCCCTGTAGTCTATTTTGAAGACAAAAAAAAAATATTTGAATTAAATACAAAATGTTTTTTTTGTCAGTGCGGGTCAAATTTGGTCAGATAATATTCCATTGATACCAGTTGTTTGTTCGATTTACAGATTGTATGCTTACATACAAATATATAATCAATCAAATAAACACTAAAATATAATATAATATTTCTGCTATGAAAACGAATAAATCGTTAACTTTACCAGCCGAAAACACCAACTAGTTATCTGCGATTAAAAAAAGCTTGTTTGTCATTAACACTTTTGCTTTCATCAATCGCTCTATTTTTTCAAATGCTTATTATTAACCATATTATATGAAACAAATAAGGTGTTATAATCAAAATGAAATGTTCACGTGCTGGCCCATTGACTATGGCAAGTTGTGAAGCAAAGTCGCTCAATTATAGTGAATTATAACAGCTAAAAATACCTGTGAGTGGCTGAAGTACAAGTAGAAAGTGATTTTGAACGCCCACAGGCACGCTTCTTTTCGCCAGCACAATTGCGCGCCTTTAAACAAAATTATGTGTGAAATTTGCAAGAGCCGATTTTAGCCTAAAGAAATTGATACAAATTCGACGAAGATGATGATGATAGACAATTTTGTCTGCAAGCTATTTTTCCTCGTGATTATTGATATTTTGGTAGACTGTTGCGGCACTTGAGAATAAAGCTAAGCACAAATACTTAGAGTATGCCTAAATAAAATTAGAAATTTCAATAAATATAATAATAATGATTTTCAGATAATTTGGTTAACAGTGTGATTACCTGACTTTCATCAACATTATTATTAAGTAATTTTATTCGACTGCTTCAACACTTGCGAACAACTTTAGCTATCGTGAACGCACTAACTACAATTACAACTCAATAATTACCATAATTAAGCTAAAGTATTTTTGTTACACTCAGGGTTGGAAAAAATGCATTAAAAAATAATTTAATTGATAAGTTTTGTATGCCTTTCAGTTGTCATTTCGTCTGTGCCATGCTATGCGCGAAAGGAAAGTAATTGAAGTGCGCCGGGTATTGAATTGCGCCTTGGACTCGTCGAGTGAGAGTACGCTTGCCTTGGATCGTTCGGTGCGCACACATTTGCAGGAGACCGTTGAATTCTTTCCGGTTGGAGAAATTGAACGTTCCGTTTTCAATCAGGTATATTTGAATACAGACAACTTTTAAATTATTTATTATTACCAGATTACTAAATAATGTATTAAAAAAAATAATTGAATTAAAATTTGAAATACAATTTTTTTGCTTTAAAAATATTATTTTTAATACCGGATTGATAAATAAAAAAATGTTAATCAAAAGTATAAAATCAAAAATAAGAAAAAAAAAGTTTTAAAAATTACATTTTTCCTGTTAAGTATTTGTTGTTCCACCATTTGGTAATATTGTAAAACAAAAAGCTTATATTTAATAATATATAAACCTAGTTTAGTAATATTGGTCTTATTTGCATGTAATTAAAATAATAATATTTTTTTTTTTATTCGCTACTCTAAACTTTAAATAAAAACACGATCGATTTTTTAAAATTTTCAATTTTTAATCCCAAAATCAGAATCCAAGAAGTTTGGTATTAAAAATTAAGAAAATATTTTTTTTATTTAGTAATTGTTGTAACAAATAAAAATAATAATTATCATTTTAATTAAGTGAGAAATTTAAAATTTTTAATCCCAAAATTTGAATTATTTTAATCCAAAATTTTTTTAATTCGAAATTTTTGTATTAAAAAAATGCCCAACCTTTATTATTACTATATTTATTATGCAACAGGTGCTTTCCACTCTCCACGAATATCCCTGCTTGGAATCATGTCCACCCTTAACGCATTTCGTCAGCGCCTGCGTACGCTTGGCTTGGCGCATGATTAACCAGAAGTCACCTTACTACCTTGATAGTGATTTCAATCTTGGTAAAGCAAAAAATTATATTTTGTAATAAAAATATTTATTTCATATTCTTTTTGTATTTCAAACAGGTTTCTTGCGCCCGGAGAAGCACGAACGGCATTCACAATCAGATCGGCGCTCCGACTTGATCAAAGCATTTCTTTGGCCAGCGCTAATGCAGAACAACCACTGTGTATTCAAAGCGATAGTAGCCACTTAGAACAAGCTTGCAACTTTCGTAAACATAAAATTAAAGTTTATATAACTGTTACTTGCCTTAAATAGTGCCTAGAGGCCGGTTTCACATAGAGTTTATTTAGCCACTTTTTCTTGTGTAACAGTTCTCATTTAAAATTCCAATCTTTATTAGCATGAATCTGCTGCAAGTCTCTTCCAATATGTACATACATACATATAAATATACATAGATATAATACTTAACTCTTTTTCTATAAAATTAATATGTAAGTAATAAATATTAAATACTTAAAATTAATTTATATTAACTAAAGTACAATTAAATTATATATCTACAAGTACATCCATATTTAATTTCTAAGTAACTATTGGTTTTAATACTAAACATACGCTAATATTTTTATTTGTACATTGTAATGCATTAAGGCTATAAAAATCGATTATATCGCTTGGCGACTTGAATATTTTCTCATTTGGCTTTTGCTGTCCGATGCTGTAAGAATCTTTGCCACTTAATTGCCTGATGAAGAGGTGGAAATATTGTTGCTGTGCATAAACCGTTACGATATACTTTATTGATAGATCCTATAGGACAATATATGGACAAAGTCAAAATATTAGTATGACAAATAATCTACTTGAAAATAATGAAAAATAGTGGAACTTATGTTAATATTTTTGTATTTGTTGCAAAACATACCGCTTCTTTGAACGGTCGCACTAGGCAGGCACCATCTTCGCGGCAATTGAGAATATGCTCAGCAGATGCGCGATCTACTAGACGATAATAATGTTCTGTTTCGATTTTACGGCGCTCAATTTCCAGATAATTAGCGTCTATATCATCTGAAAAGAAGCAGGCGAAAAGCAAACAAAGAGTAAGTAAATGGGAGCAAAACTCACGAATTATAATAATTCAATTACATCAAATCAAAATAAAACTTCAAGGATCTCTCCGGAAAATAACCTGATAACAAGAGAGTAGGTGGAGATCTCACTAAAATGGTATAATCGCTTGGTTTTTAATACCTAATTGAGTATGCCAGATCTATTTACCTTATAACAGTTGTTTATTCGATTCGCTACTCTACATGGTTTCACAAATGGAAACGAACGAACACAAAGCACTCAGAAAAAAAGCTTCAATCAAAATATCTGCGGCATAGTTGATTATTGGATTTCATCTGGTGACGTTTTACTTGCTATTGTTACATTTACATTGCAAACTAAATATTTAATCAGTTTCGAATTTGGTTGCATTCATGCCTCGGTATAATAAAAAATCGTGATTCAGAGATTAATCTAAACATCAATTTATAACCCAAAACCGGATAATGAAATTCGCCGAAAAAAATTGACAGCTTTGCAGATATATTGGACCAGAAAAGCTATATGAAGAATTTGGGGGGTGCAAGGTATATTTGCAGAAACAAAAAATGTAAAACCCATGGGCTTACCTAACTTGTCGGATGGATATACCATCTGGTAAAACCTTTTTTTTTTTTTGTTCGTATGAAGTTTGAACTCCATATATCAAATATTTTGTGCTTGCCAGCTGTTTGCTTACGACGCGAAAAGTTTATCTGGCGATTTTAACCACGGAACAAAGAGCCGTGAACAAAGAGTTTGCTAGAATTTTTTTTGTTTCTAATAGACTCCTGATTAGAGCATAATTGAAAATGTTTCAGAACTGATTTTGGAAGTATACTTTAACACGAACCCAAGTATTTCAGTAGCACAAAACATTCAGTGAATGTCGTGAAACAAACAGTGCTTGAAAGTCATCGTGTTGGCATTAGAGAGATAGCAGAGGATTTCAACATCTCTTTATGGATCGACTCAACACATTTTGGTCTATATTTTGGGTATGAAGCGTGTCAATGCTAGACTCGTAACACAAAACATGAATATTTGGCAAAATGGAGTACAGGTCGCAAAAAAGATGCTCGACAACGTAGCTGAGGACCCTACATTCGTCAAACTCATAATTACTGATGACGAGAAGTGAGTTTATGAGTATAAAGTTGGAACTTTCCAATAATGTAGCGAATGGCGCCCCAGCGGCGAATTAGCCGAAACCGATAAAACCAAAATACGCTGAGGGATCCTAGTCGAGGCTTAAAAGAATTGTATGGAAAATATGATGAAACGTTGGCATATTTATATCGACTCAAAGGGGGCCTATTTGGAAGGCGATTAAAAAGATTTGTATTAAATAGTGTAACATATTTTTTGTTTTCATCAAATTACTTTCGATTTCTCCTAAATGCATTAAACACAGTTTTTATATATAGAGTCATATATATTTATTTATATACCTACATATATTTCATCCTTATTATTTTAATACATGTACATATGGTACATACATATAATATGTATGTATCGAACCCGATATGAGCAATAATAATGATAGTGTATTGAGAGGAAAACACTTGCTCCGACAACTGTCAATTAATTCCAGATATCTGCTGAGCCAAAGAATTTCTCACTTTCTGACGTACTTACCAACTATGACGTAATCGTGGTGTTGAAATGGAGAGTTTGCTTTGGCTAGCCCCTCTTCAATATCCGCTAGCGTTAATTCACTCTGCTCTCCGTCATTATCGTTTGATTTGCGCGCTTCACGCTGAGTATGTTTATAAAACAAACAATGACCACAACAAAAACAACAAGTAGAATGCGAACAACACATTAAACGCGCACACAGATCACTGTTATAAACGGAATCGGCAAATGTTGTCACAAATCGTGTGAACAAATTATGCAAAACAGTCCAATAGACACGTAAACACCAGCACATAGTGACAGCTGGACCACGGTGGACACTCAATTTGATACTGGGTTCACTTGTCACAAATTATTTGCGAAATATTTCAAATTCGCCAAATAATTTTGCCGCACGAATGCATGTTCCCGCAAGTAGCGATCTTTATTTCATTAACACAACAATAACTATTTAATTAATAACTTGAACATTGTCTGGATTACGAATATTTGCATTTGTAGTATCGCGAATGGAACGGCGACTCGCTTGAAGCCGATCTTCGCGCCACACATCTTAAGCGAGAGCGTGTCGCAGACTAACTGCGCACCCAAAACAAAATACAAAGCGTTTGCTGTTTTAATTACATACATAATAAATTAAGTAAATAAAAATAACAACAACAACAAGAAAAAAATAAAAAATGAAATTGATACCAGAAATAAAATAATTTTGTATTGTTAGTTTACGATATCTTTGTGAGAAAATTATTTGCATACATGCATGCATATGTACGTTTTTGCGTACAATTATACACCCATCCATACATTTTTACAGTGAAAGCAAAATGTAAGCGAGCGGAAAGAATATGCTATCCAGATTAAATTCCAACAGCAGTGGATCAGTGCTTTATGGGCACATAGAAGCAGACAAGTAGATATGATGGTGTTGCATGTATGTATGTGTGACAATATGTATCCTTAAACTTGAATATATGCAGATGGATGTCACTGTCGCTAAATTGGGGATTGTCGGCGGAGTTCTCACGTTACATTAGTACAATAGCTTTTCTACATACATACAAACGCACATATGCATATAAATGCGTTTATTTGTACCCATATATGCATATTGTGGTGTTTTAATTTTGTTGTAAATGATCGCAGCAGTGCATCTACAACAACGAAATTGGATATATGTACATACATATATGTAAAAGCAAAGTGTCATCTCGCTGCTGCATTGCCTTTCCTGCATTCAAAATTTATTTGCACTCAATTTCTTTATTTATACAATGCGTATTTGAAATTTTGTTATTTTGAAAACATTAGTTTATAGCTCACACTTTCCACAAACGGGTTGAAAATTCAGGAAAACTTTCTTCAATTGTGTAATCAAAGATAGCTGCGCATAAATTTTCGTTTCCATTTTAATTTTAAATTCAATATTCTAATTAACGGTTTTCAGATAGCAGCGCCATCCGTTGTTTAGTCACGCTAACTTTGACCGAAGGGTTGCATTTGCCATTTTATTATACGTACTGTACCGAATCAAAGAACACAGCAACAACAATTAAAAAAACTATGTTGACAACTGCCGAAAGGGTCGTTGCAAGGTTATTCATTCGACCAACTTCTTGCAAAGTGAGTGAAAAATTCCGGCTGCTCCAGTTATTACTTCCAGTCCATTTAACGACTTTGTATTAACAAATAAGTGATTAACAAACAAACATTTTCAGTATTTTGCTTTGCAGTTTACTCGTTCTCTCAGCAGTTGCGATAAGAATAAAAAACATAACAAAATGTCACGTCAATTCTGCGTTGGTGGTAACTGGAAGATGAATGGCGATCAGAAATCCATTGCCGAATTGTGTAAAATTCTTTCTGCAGGACCATTAGATCCCAACACAGAGGTGTATGTCGGCGTACCAGCTCCATATCTCATTTACGTACGCAGTCTATTACCTCAGACCATCAATGTGGCCGCACAAAATTGTTACAAAGTAGAAAAGGGTGCGTTTACTGGTGAAATTTCGCCCGCTATTATTAAAGACACCGGTGCCGGTTGGGTAATTTTGGGACATTCGGAACGCCGTCAAATATTTAAGGAGAGCGATGAACTTATTGCCGAGAAGGTCGAACATGCGTTGGCAGTTGGTTTAAAAGTAGTCGCATGCATTGGCGAAACTCTGGAGGAACGTGAAGCCAATAAGACACAAGAGGTTGTCGCTAGACAAATGTGTGCGATAGCACAGAAGGTGAAGGACTGGTCGAATGTTGTTGTCGCTTATGAGCCAGTATGGGCCATTGGCACAGGCAAAACAGCCACTCCCGAACAGGTTCGTTAATATGGCAAACATTTCAAAATTTTACTATTATAGAAACTAATTTGAATATTTTATGTATGTGTATGTGTATTTGCAGGCACAAGAAGTGCACGCCTACCTCCGTCAATGGTTGACCGAGAACATTTCAAAGGAAGTAGCTGCCACATTACGCATTCAATACGGTGGCTCCGTGACTGGTGCCAATGCCAAGGACTTGGCTAAAAAGCCCGACATCGATGGTTTCTTGGTGGGTGGTGCTTCTCTGAAGCCAGAATTCGTGCAAATTGTCAATGCCAGACAGTAATAGTCTCATAAAAAAAGCTGTTGACGTACACGACTGCCTGCTAACTCGGAAGACATTTTAGGCATGTAGTTCACATCTCAAGTACTGTTAATGTTGTTGTTAAAGGAAAATAACTCTTTTTTTATAATTTTGCTTAGTTTAACGCAATTTGCACAACTAAGCTAAGTGAATGCATATCTGCTGTTAAGAGTAAATATAATTAGAAAAGTTTTCACTTTATCATGTCAGAAAAGAAGAAATTAAAAATTGTGCAAATTTAATCATGTAAACCTTGCATACCATTGTATTATGCAGAACAAATCATTCTTCTGTGTATATTTATTATACTGGAAGAAAATGCTGGAATTTAATTTTAGATTATTAAATAAATGTTGTTAAGAGTTTTAAATTTAAACATTGGATTTGCATTTTTCTTTCGCTCTTCGATAATAAACAGCTCTGTATACACATATACGTATGTATGTGTGTAAACATATATGCACATACTCATGACATGCGTCGAATCATCGCACGATAAAACACAAATATATAATATGTATGTACATATTTACCAGAAGTAATATATTATTGTGTGCGCATATATATTGTACATACTTATTTTAAAGATTACGTAGTGTACGAGAACGGTAACCATTTGCTAATAAATATATAGTGTGTGTGCATATAATAATTTATGCATTATGCAATGTTCAAAGAGCAACAAATGAATACATGCATATATTCACGTCAATGAAGAGCAAACAAACGAATTTGTAAATAAATCTTTGGGATTTTGATTTAAATTTAGGAGATGCCACAAAGGGGAAAGTTGTAGTTGTAACAGCTGAAAACACGCCCCAATTTCTATAGTGTGAATTAAGAAATACAACTGATGTTGTTTGTATTGTAAAAGCAATAAATTTTGCACGAATTGCATGATTTTTATATTACCGGTCAGAGTCAAAGGAGGCAGTGTTGAAAAAAACTTTCCTTGAAATTGCCGATCGTTTAAACTCATACAACTTATTTACAAATGCTCGTGATTTTCCAGTTCTGGGTCCGATTAATCTTTCAACAATCCCATTATTGTTGTTGTTGTTGTTGTAGAAGCAGAAATAATTCCCAAAAAAATCTTGAGATATGTTACCGAGTTGTAAATCTTTAGCCAGACATTTATCCAAGATAATTTTGTACGTCTTTAGCCGGGGTGCTTCTGACAAGAGAATTGAGAATTTTTTGTATTTTCGCAGTTTGTTTTCTATAGCTGTAATAAGATCTTATATAGAGGAAAGATGTCGAAATCCAAAAATGTAAGCATGCCTTAAAATTCCATTCAACTTCAGATCACTTTTTCGAGTTATTTAAGCTTTTCTGTGTGGACTTGTGCATTAAGATTCTATTATGATGATTTAGTAAACTGACGCACAGAAAACATATGAGACCCATATAGGGACTGTCTTTTTCGGTTCGGATATTTCCACCTGATTAATTTTTTGTTTTAGCAATTAAATTGAGATGTCTATGATCAATGAGGTTTGTTGACTCAATAAAGTCGCTTTTGGTTGAGATCATTTGAGATTACATAGTAAAGATGATGATTGTTGTTGTCGTAGCGGAGCATGGGGGAGAGCTCAAAATCGACTGTCATCGAAATCCCCTAACGGAAGGCGAGGAAGCTATCTGTTTCGATGGGGTCGGACAGTTTAGAGAGAGTTCACTTTTGGTTTTAAGCCGCAAGTCGAGCTCTTGTTCTACAATGATTGGTATTTGAACTCCAAGGACATCATGCACTGGAAAGGAGTCAATAAAAGTGTTTACAACTTCACCGTAAATGACGTTCAGTACATATCTGAAGTTAACAGCAGTTTGGTCGGCATAGTGCTTTATCTCGTCGACGTAGTGTAGAAAATTATCTTAATGTTCCTTGGAGACCATCCCGCTCCAAGCAGATAAATCCAAGGATTATTTCTGCAAAAGCATCCCAGCCGAAACTGCTTATAGAGATGAATGGTGTTCGGGCAACATGGTGACAGTTTTAAGTTTCATTTAATAAATGTATTTCCAATTACGTAAGTCACACTCTCTCTGGAACTGCTATATTCGTTTCTTTTGTCGATTCAACTCTTAACTCATCTCTATAAAATCACTTTGGATTTCGATTTAAGGCATAGGTTTTCATAACATTGGATTTGTTTTCATTTCTCTCAAAATAATTGAAAAATTTACAATTAAGTTGTGTGAAAAATTATATTTTAAATAAGGATTTTTTCGATTTATCAAATATATTGTATCCGTTTTTAGGAAATTTGTCGAAAGTTATCGGGTATTACTTTCGAAAACTATATTCGTTGCATCAATTACAAAAAAAAAAATTAACAGCCAGCGTTTTACAATATTGCAAAATCGCAGAGGGTTATAAAGAAAATTCCAAAAAATAAAAAAAAATTTAAAACAAAAACAAAAACGGCAGTGCAGACATCGTTCGAAAAGTTATCAAGCTTTTGAATACAGTAAACACCTATATTAAATGACCGAAATTGCAGTGTGAGGCAAGAACTCTCGGCAACTAAAACGACGAGTACAAACACCAACATGGTCACAGGTTACATATTCGATATAATCGTAGTGCGTATTGACACGCCTATGCAAAGATATGACGATCCTAATCTCTTCGCTGTCGATGTCAATTACAACAACGTCTCGCTAAGCATCACCGCCAGCCGTATCAATGTGGCCGAGTTTCGCTCCGGACGCAGTTATGAATTCGAGTCGACGCCAGATGACCTGCGCGCCGACATGGAGGCGAGTCCACTCAAGCTAACCGTCAAATATGATAACGTCATTGTAGGCAAGTGAATCGGAAGAACTCTCTTGCCTTGATTTTATATAATTCATATGATATGTTTTATGTCTATAGGGTCCGGTGCGATGATTTGGCCGCCTTCAGTGCTTAATAAAGTATCGGAAGCAGCTAACGAGATTACACATGTCGATGAGTGTGA